TAGTATAAGACTCTGAAATGTGAACAACGTCAACACAAACGACAAATAGGAACGGGAAAAATTACTCGTAAAGATATTCGATGTTGACGTCATATATAACTGAATAGCTTCGATACCTTATCAAAGCTTGCTAATTATCTTACCGGAAGATGTTTTCTAGTTTGTGCAAATACAGGAAACCATTTCATAGCATTCAGTTAAAGACGACAGAGGAAATTAAAGCGCGTTTCTTTCACAACAAAACTTTGTAATCAAAGGGACGTAACAGTGGCACCAGCGGTTCACTGTTGAACATTTATGTAATATATGTTCGTTTTCCTTCCAACCAGCTAAACGTAACTCCTACCAGTTCTATCAGTCTCTCCTTGACTTCATCCCATAAATATGAACCTCGCTTTGTTTTAGCATATGACTGTTACATGATTAACAGAACCGTACAAATTTCTCACCGTACAATGAATCAAAGTGCAATATTTACCTTGTCTTTTTGAAAAACATTAGTTTGATGGACATTTGCTTCGGTGTTTTTGGTTTGCTTGACAGGTTTGGGCCAACGAAACCTCCACACCAGAGGCATCTACCACCATTCATCTGAATATAACAAATCAGAATGACAATAGTCCCAACTTTACCATGTCAGAATACAGCGCATCTGTCCAGGAGGGTAGCAGCTTCTCCACATCTGTCATCACCGTCAAGGTATTTGTAACAATGTAACATGTAACTCCACGTACATTGCCTACAGCATCTGTCCAGGAGGGTAGCATCGTCTCCACATCTGTCATCACCGTCAAGGTATTTGTAACAATGTAACATGTAACTTCACGTACACTGCCTACAGCATTTGTCCAGAATGGTAGCACCGTCTCCACATCTGTCATCACCGTCAATGTATTTGTATCCATGTAACATCAGCCACAGTCTCTACACCAGGAGATTCCCAGAAGGATAGTAAGGTTTCCATAAATGTCCTCACCGTCAAGGTACGTCTAACATTGTCACATGTAACCTCAGCCACAGTCTCTCCACCAGGAGATGTCCAGGAGGGTAATAAGGTCTCCATAAATGTCATCACCGTCAAGGTACGTCTAACATTCTCCCCTATCATCTTTAGCCAGTCTCTACACCAGGGGATGCCCAGGACGATAATAAGGTCTCCATATATGTCATCACCGTCAAATCTTTCGCCACGAAACTGAGGGACAGTTGCGGGCGGAAGAAGAATCAAAAAGGGAGTGAATATAAAATTCGAGTCCACAATCAATATAACTATAATATCACTCATTGGTTAGACTTCTACTGGAAATAATGAAGTACAACATTCATAGTCACATAACTGAGCAACTGTTGTATTTGTGAATGGTACGTTTTACAGGCTATAGACAACGATTTGCCCTTGTTCGGAACTGTCTCCTATAAACTACGAGGTGCCAACGGAATGTGAGTATGGTGTTCTTCATGATTATACTTTCTTGTGTACCTTGCGCACGCCAGAATTAACTTATGATCATAGGTTCGACTCCCGACTGGAATCGATTATATTTGTTTGCTTTGTACCCGTGTCTTCGCGTTTGACCAAGGTCCAAGACATGTATCGCCTCGGGCTGAGACCTACTGTGGTTTAGAAATGTTATACCTTCCATTCCTCAAGTCTCCACCTTAAAGCTCTTGTGTAATATTATGCATCACTGTATATGGGTTGATGTACCCTCGATGTTTGTTTAAGTTCCCTGAGCCCGAAGGGCAAGGGGAACATAAACAAACATCGAGGGTACATCAAACCATGGGCCCCGAGGGACCAGTGAACAACGTATTTATCTTACCGAACACTTTAAAAGTTAATTTTGAATTGTTTGAAGCTCGGGTACAAATCTTTTTGTAGCCATCGCCAGGTTTTGCTGACAAGAAATACAGATTTAGAGTTATCTCCCTTCCATCGATTTGCATTCGCAAAACATCGGTAATTTCCGTACATCATACGTAATTCACTGTTATTCGAGGTAAAGAATTACTACCGCGAAGTACCAAATGAGTTGCCATTGACAGCTGGGTACATTGAAATGTTACCTGCTTGTAAGCAGGGGTACATTGGAAATAATAGAAGTGCGCTCAGCCAATCAGAAAGCGACATTTATGTGTGAGGTACGATAAGGACTGTTATACCTTCCATGCCTCAAATTTCCACTCAAACCTCTTGTATAAGTACCTTGTAAATTGACGTATCACTGTAATATCTCCCATGCCTTGATACACTTGTATAAGTACCTTGAAAAACTGCAAAACTGTAAACGCAATAAGTACGATACCATTCATGCACTTAGAACATGTCATGATGATGTCCACTGTCCTAACGTATTGGGTCAACAGAATATGTAGCAACAAAAAGATTAAAACTATAACTACATATTTGTAATAGCTCTGTGAACATTCTGTGGGGTGATAAGGGTTTGGGGGGTGATTATATTCAATTTGGCATACAGTCTTGTGGTGAGGTGTTGGTGAACCTGAATTTTTGTCTAATTACATATACAATGGGCAACTCCTTATTTCTAGTTGAGGTGGGTAAATCCGTTGAATGGAAGTGTTTGTTCACGTGATCTTAAACAATCTCAACTTACTGACATTAGTTGGATAATCAAGCTAAATGTTTCGGCCTAATAACCTTTATAAGACTTTGTCAATCCAAGAAGAAATTCCGTATCATTTGCACAAGGAGAAATAGTTCGAGGAAGTGCTGACTGAAAATTGTTGACAACTGTTGAAAGTTCCATGTAGACGAGGCCTGTTGGTCAGTCTTGGAACGTCAATGTTAGCAGACAGATGAGCGTAATTCCAATGTTGCCCCCCTCATACATCTCAACAACCATCCCTTACATACCCATCTATATACAATTCTGGGGAATTCTAACAAAAGCCATGCCAAACTACAATCTTCTCATAGCTTATGGCATCCTACCAAAAGCGGAAGTAAAACAAACAAAGGGAGGCAACTCCCCGGCCTACTTTTAACAGGTGAAATTACATAGCCTAAGTTCAAGGTGTGAGTTCAAATCCACACTTAGCGCTTTAAACTTTTGTGACCCGAAATAGCAAAAGGCTTGATAAAGGTGTTAGTAGCTACACCGAAACGTCGCTCATATTATATTAAAGAAGTTTTATATCCATAGAACTCTCCTCGTTGTGCTATTTAATGTGATATTATAATTAACAAAACACATCCTCATACAATAACTGTATCTATGGCTACCACGATAAGTAACAAATGCCCTGTGCATTAGGTAATGAGGATTTCCTTTGGATAGTGGCGTGCATAGTTTTAACACAACTTTCTTTGCAACTGGAAACACCAAACTAATCCCTAGATTTTGTTAGAATCCATATGGCACAAATTCCACTTGTCTCGCATACGTTCTGGGAATATGAAAAATGAATGGATACATACAAGAAAGGACAGAAGTTCGTCTTGCTATGCATCAGTACGCTTGGTCATTTTGTCAGTTAAGAGATTTTGTCAGAGGCGATCGACATTTAGCTGTTAATGTATGCATTCATCGCTTCATCGTTTACATAATCATGCATATGTACTGGTGGCTGAAATTAATAATTATTGTGAAATATCCAACATAATACAACATATGCATCAGCGTTAGCCAAGTTCTCGAAAAGCGTTATCCTCTCTTAAGGACCTTCCTCTGTTTTCTATGGATAATTGATGGAAAAAAACAGATAGTTCGCCATAATGTGTTGAGGGATCTATCAGAATTTGACATTTGAATGTTGAATTTTTTAAAACACCATTACAACCTTCTTAAATTACCCAAGTATTTCACTACTTGACGTCTGTGAGAAAGGTAAGTTAAATCTTGTTTTTGTTTTGGTGTATTCACCCATATCTAAATATTCTTTGTTCGAGGTTCTCGATCACTTCCTCTGGCCTGGTAACTGTGGCCTCTGACCAGCTGGACAGAGAGACCAAGTCTGTGTACTACATATCGGTGGAGGCCACAGACCCCGGAGGATTGAAGGACACCGTTCAGCTCACTGTCAACATCACGGACGCCAACGACAATGCACCGGTATTCAGAAGAGACTACGACGGGTATTTGAAAGAAAATGGAAACAGCTTTAGTAGGTCCATCATTGTGTCGGTGAGTCAATCAAACGGAAGCTATCGTGTTCAAGGTAACCTTACTTGTTCTTGCATAGTTTGAAACCCACACAATTTGGTATCATGGCAATAATAAATTCTTCGAGTAACGTTGAACGCTTCGCCTTATTCTCCTCACTATTGTCAACAAACGTACTGACAATGTCAGGGAACAACCTCCAAAGAAATATCTCTTATTGTACTTACACTTCAATACCTTAACCACAAAGCTATCCTTAATCAACGTTTTGCGATTATTGCATTGATTATTTCTTATATCCAGTTTTTACCTCAACTCAAAGCTGTCGTCTAAAGAACAGATTCGATTCCTTTCATAAGTAACACAATGAAATATTGATTTCTTTCTTTGTTACCAATCTTGCCAATCCAAAATTGGAACGAAGGCCCTCTTGAACACAAGTAAGAAACTGCGTTAGCAATTGCAGGAACCTGTTAATAACGGCATTATAGGGTGCTTAATAGTTTTCGTAAATTTTTGAGTGGTTAGCATATATTGTTTTTAACTGAACATTCAATAGAAAACATCAGTTTTGTAAACGTAATATAGCATATTTAGAGTAAATGTTCTACAGGTGACGTTACAAGACAAATTAAACGGCTTAACACCTCTACCAATAGCATACATGTGTTAACCATATCCCCCACAGGCCACAGACGCCGACATGGGGGTCAATGCCCAGGTGAGGTACAGCATCAGCCGGACCTACCCCATCGGCCTCGACTCCCACTTCGTCGTGGGTAGCGTCACCGGTGTCCTCTCTGTGGCCGTTCCTCTCATGAACAGTGACACTAGCCAGGTTGCTGTGTTGGTGCGGGCTACGGACTCTGACACACCTCCACTATTCTCTGATGTTAATGTTACAATTAGTCTCCTGGTGGGTAGTATATGTCATATAAATTAACTAAACTAAGATTATGTATAGCGCATTTTCTTGAAGTGACAGATCTTGGGTGTTTCAGTAGAGTTTCCCAGGTTTTTGCTTATCAAATTTGTTGTGGCAGATTGTGTAATTGAAATGGCTGGTACCACTAATAGAAGTAGAGCGTGCTGGCGTGTATTATACTACGCAGCAAAAGAAACGTCAGTTTGGAATTTTCCTTCGCAGAAATGGATAACTGTAAACTCATGTAATGTTTTGATCGTATACTTTTGACAACATCTCCAACTTTACCTGAGCAAAGACATTCCTTCCCAAACTCAGAATGGAACCAAGGAAATGGTCTCAAAAACACAACCTGATCTCGGAGATGGTACGGTGTTCTCCATGAATATATAACATGAGCTCCTCTTTGTATTGTTTATGTTTATTTCCAAAGGGTAAATGTAGTCCATCGGCCCATGGTACATATATATCATTGGTCCACAGAGTTGCGATATTTATGTATTTATAGTACAAACAATGCAACATGTTTCAATATTCCAACATTAGTATTACACAATAGGTTGTTAAACTTATGAATTGTTGCGTTTACAAAGTATTTAAGTGGTATAAACTGTTTTCTAAGATCAATGTAAGCGTAAATAAAAGTAGAAAATTATATTCATTTTCGATATTACAGTTATTACAGAGTATACAAACCCAATTCTGTTCAGAAGTGGCTTTTAATCTAAGTTCAAAATCTGCCAGAAAAAGGTACAGGGAAGTCTACACGTTGGGCTTCCCAGATATAGCCCAAACCTTAAGTTTTGAGCCTCTTTGTAAGCAAGGGCCAAACAATTAATTGTCTTATAAAGCAGACTGAATAGAGTAAATTGCACGCTTTGTAAAAAAATTGGCCGCCAGTATTATTCTCATGCGACACTGCTCCTGTAAATACATTCAACTGTTCTTTGTCCAAACATCGAGTCATACATGAATTCTAATATTATTCAGTTCAACTGCGCGCCCAATTTGCATGATTTTGTACCATGTTCCTTAATGTTTTCAGACACCAGGAAGCACGTGTGGAGATACAGGTAAATTTTCTCTTACTTCGCCTTCATCTCTCTCCCAGATGAGCGAATCACGCTGGCTCAATGTGTCATAACATAATTCCATCAACGCACAGTAAAGCGGTCAGTTGGCTGGTTGGTTAACGCCGTACTCAGCAATATTCCAGCTATATGGAGGTGATCTGTGAATAATCAAGTCCGGACCACACAACCCAATGATCAACACCATGAGCATCGATTTACGGAACTGGAATACGATGACATGTGTCAACCACGTCAGCGATCCTGACCACCCGATCCCGTTAGTCACCTCTGACGACAAGCATGGGTTACTGAAGATCAATTCTAACCCGGATCTTAGCGGTTAGCGGTCAGTAGGAAAATGAACAACTGGCATAAGATACATTTCAATGAACTAAGTTACGTTTATTCCCGTAACTCAATGTCCTAGCATGGTAACTTTTCTTGATTAAGCCTGTCCGCCTGTTGCGCCGATTCTACACTGTGAGGAGTCATCATCATCATGTTGCAGCAGGTGCGAGCAAGGATACTTCTGGGGCGCTGCTGCTTGTGACGGTAGGTCCAGAATAGTCAATACAAGTCCAAGTGACCAAACCCTTTCCATATTAGAAGAAATTTCCACCGTGTCGACTGCACGAGTCCGTATACATCATTGACTAAATTTTTTAATCCGTTTCACACTTAAACAAATTATACCAGGTGTTTGCAAATATTTTTACCAGGTGTTTGCGAAAAGGTGCGCGTACCTGCAAAATACAAAGATTAAATGGTTCTGAATAGCAAAACGGACTACTTCAAATGCAAAGTGCCCTTCTATGCCTGAGAAACGAACCCTGTTTCCTTTTTTACATAACGTAAATCTTACATTGAAAATCTTATTAGCTTATTAGGTGCCGTCTGTTCAAAGGACCTTTGCAAATGCAGACAAGCACGATGCTTTTTTGATCATCTTTGGGACAGTAGCTGTTACACCTCGAATTGTTTGATGATTAGTACTTGCGTCAGTGCACTACGTTGACGAGACACATGCTGTGGAGCCGCTTCACATTACGTTTGCGAAGGCACAAATCTTTTATCCTTGCTGTCACCAATTGTTTAACGCCACAATGAACAATATTCAACCTAAATGGCGGCAGTCTGTAAATAATCGAGAATCCAGGGATCAACAGCATGTACATCGACCCACGCAATTGGGATACGACAACATGTGTCAACCAAGTCAGCAAGTCTGGCCAGCCGATCCCGTTAGTCGCCTCTTACGACAGGCATGGGTTACTGAAGATCAATGGAAACCCGGATCTTCTCGGGTCGCAAACATATTAGAGCGGTATATTTAACGAACGAATTTCAAATCATATTTATAATGCCCTTAAAAGTTTCAGACACATTTTCAATCGATAGTGAAGACTCTCATGCTATCTTTTTATGGCTGACGTGATGATATTCGCAAACAGCATGCCCTCCCCCACATGCTGGATGCCGTGACGTGATCTGCATGTCCCCCCAGCAACGTCAGTTGTACCAGCTGTCATCCGGGCTTCTACCTCAAGGGCAGCACCTGTTTGGGTGAGATCATGGATCGTTAAAACTGAATTAACTGATGCCTATCATAAACGAAGTTTTAGAAATATCTTCAAAGGAGTGTTCAAAAGTTTCTACTCCTTAAATATAAATGATTTGATGTATGCAGTAGTGTAGAGTTATCTTCAGACAACTCATGGTTAGTCGACTGCAGGGAGGTATGGCACCAGTGATGATTATGTTGTTTTTTGAAGATATCAAAGCAGGATAATCAGCATATTCATGTACAGTGTCTATTCACTTCAGGCAGGTTCATCTCACTATTATAAGTGTTTGATTGTTTCAGAGGGCAGTGTAGCAGGCGATACAACTGACCCAGGTGAGTAAGTTCAGTAGCGTACTGGGGAATTGCGATCCTACATTAAGCCAGGCCCGGAGGTTATGGTTTCAGAGTTCAGATTGTCAACACCAATCACGCGTTAGTGGCTACAAGGCATCTATTCTTTGAGTTTTCCTTTCCTTTTTAAGCTTAGATCCGTATTTTAAACTCTAACTCTGTTCCAAACAGAGATAAAATCACATACTTACTTACGCTTTGCTTTCGTAATTCATTATTGCAGAGGAATCGTCAAACGTCATCTACATTGTAGTTGGAGCTGTAGGTGGTGCAGTTGCTGGCTGCTTTATTACCGCCGTCATCGTCTTCGTGTGGATGAAGAGGAGAACCAAACCTAGAGGTGAGCAAAGGCACTACCTGTTTTACCTGTGACCAGTTAATTGTATTAATATACTACCCCATTAGTTCTACCTGTGTTTTTATGGGTTCATTAGTTCTACCTGTGACCAGTTAACTGTATTATCGTACTAATCCCATTAGTTCTACCTGTGACTAGTTAACTATATTTATGGGTTCATTAGTTCTACCTGTGACCAGTTAACACTCTATTTATGGGTTCATTGGTTCTACCTGTGACCAGTTAACTGTATTTATGGGTTCATTAGTTCTACCTGTGACCAGTTAACTGTATTATCATACTAATCCCATTAGTTCTACCTGTGACCGGTTAACTGTATTTATGGGTTCATTAGTTCTACCTGTGATTAGATAACTGTATTTATGGGTTCATTAGTTCTATCTGTGACCAGTTAACTGTATTAATATACTCTACTCCTATTGGTTCTACCTGTTAGCAGTTAATTGTATTGAACGGACTTTTCACACGTTCATGGTAATATGAAACTCTCTGACAAGTTACACATAGTTGACGAAGCAGTATTATCATTTTCCATGCATTACGTATTGGCTAACTGGAAGTAAACTTACACAATGTGCACGTGTATGGCCAGTGTATTCTGTTAATAACACTTACGTTTAAAACCGTGCCCTAATGGTTAATAGTATGAGCAACAGCTGTGGCCGAGCCTGACAACCTGATCCATGTCAAGGTCGGGTGACACTCCAAAGCAGTAAAGTGTTGGTATTTGTTATGACCAGAATCCCACAAGGTTTAGATCTAAAATATATTTCTGGTCTATTTGCAAAACAATAATATCACTTTTATTTCCAGAGGACAATGCTAACAACGCAAACATGTACACATCGGCCTCCCACTACGAGGACATAGATAACCACTATAGTAAAGTAGAGATGCGGTACGTCAACACTAGGGGTAGTACTCCGGATTATGTGAACGGGACTTAGAACAAAGAAGCTACAACCCTCTCCAGCGCAACAGAGAACGCGGAAACATGGAGGAAAAAGACACAGATTACTGTAACATCACCCATGACAGTGCCAGTGCAAACTGAATAGGGAGATTTTAAGAAGTTTTTTGCGCCGTGCTCATGAATTATTTTCATATTTATGTAATATTCATGTTTATGTAAAATTCAAAGTGTATTAGGTAACTGGCTATTTGTGCACAAACACCTGCCAATACTTATCCTTCAGTGTAACTATCTTCACCTGTGCATGGGACAAAATAACCTTGATACCACATATCAAGTTCACAACAAGGAAGATTTATCAGCCTCAAGTGGATGCTCAACATTGTGATAACATTGACGAAACATTCTGACGGAAGATACCAGTAGATGTGCAGCAAAATATATTTAAAGTACGCACCTAATGAGATTTGTTTAGAAAAGAATAGTCTTGGAATACAGTCAAGATGTGAAAATGAATGAGGACTGAGTACTTGCTAATTACTAATATCCCAGTCCACAAAATAGGTGTGAAAATGCTTAATTGTTACCCTTAATGTCCTGACATCTAACTTACCACTTATCAGCAGAGATTGACTTCACTTTAACCTGCACAAGTTAACTCTGTCTTTACAACAGGAGCTCATTCCGTTAGACTTCAACCCCTTCTTCCCTGAAGTAGGGTATTCTGTTTGACTGAAACTTTAAACAGCTGCTGCACACACTAAAAGATTTAGCATAGTCGTTTAATACAGATTCCTTTGAAAGGTTGTGTTTCTTTTATGTTTTATTTGGTTGTTGTATAACGCCAAACTCAGCAATATGCAGTTGATATGCAACAGTAATGACTGACATCATGAGTTCATGCAGATATATCACTTGACTGAGATCAATAATAAACCACGACACAGACCATCGTGACACCTTCGTTTACCATGACGTCTAAATAAAATACATCACTATCTCTCTGCTACTGAACCTGATCGACTGTATTATTAACACTATCAGACATTGCTTATTGATATTTACAAACTGAAAAAGTTGGAAGATAAATAGACATTAAAATATATTTTTAAAACTTGAATCAAGTCGTCTTGACATATTTGAACTATGAAGCAGGCCTCCGCAGATATAAAAACAACGATGAATTTCACGCTGTGTTTAAATTTTTTTCTTATTATCACTTATTATTATTGTCTTTTGGCATATTATCACAAACACCACAAATTGAAATCTCAAACAGTGACACGTGGACAAGCACAACAATGAATACAATTTAGATAATGTCAGCAACATCATGCCTGGAAGATAATCAATAAAACATTACACATTGACTACGTAATTAAAGACTGACTGAGTGAGTGAGTTTGGTTTTACGCCGCTTTTAGTAATATTCCAGCAACATCACGGCGGGGGACACCAGAAATGGGCTTCACACATTGTGCCCATGTGGGGATCCGAACCCGGGTCTTCCGCGTGACGAGCCAACGCTTAAACCATTAGGCTACCCCACCGCCCCACGTAATTAAAGAAGTGTGAGGAATATGCATATTGAGAAAAAAAAAAGGATGCAATGGTGTTTATGAAATCAACTATATCTGTGATGGTAGGGTGTACCTGTAAACCAGATAGTATAAGTTGAAGTCATCCTATATTCATATTTAATCAGAGGGTTGAGATAACGACTCATATCTACACAACGACCCCAGGTAGGATGCACCACTCCGGTCCCTACATTAAAGTGGGCATGTGATCAAGAATCCATTACTAGAGATACAATTAGACGGGTACTCATCACAGCAAAGGGAAGCAGTACAGGTATGTACCGATCGAATACTTATCTTCTGCAAGTGTAAACGGAGCTGTGAAGAAATCCTGTGGTGAAGTGTTTGTCGTATACTATTGATCCGGAATGAGTTAGTTGCATGGTTAGAAACTGCCAAGCTATTTGCTGTCTGCCTCGCCATTAAATGGCTGAAACATCGCCTTAATTTAACTTTTTGAGTTATGTGTACACTAGGGATGCTTTTTCATGAACACCTTCTATAATGATAGCCTCAGTTGCATAATCCGTTTGTTGTTGAGTCGTTGGATCATGTCCAAACAATAATCAGGCTAAAAACACGTATTGACGCTGCTTATGACTTCATGGCGTCATTATGGAGTGGAATCGATTTTGGCCTTGGTGCACAGCACTGTAATATTCTTCATCCTATCCTCAGATGTTTTTGTTGGAATAACTCTAACCCTAACCTATAACATTTGTTCAGGCCCCGATTTCTTGAAACAAAATTAAGTCTGAGTTTTGACTTTATAAGTTGCAGTTTTTACACAAATTTGAGAAAACGCAGGAAAATGCATTTCCCAGAATAAACTGACATTGATATTTAACTCAAACATTCATCAACAATGATGTTTAGTTCATCAGAAAACATTTTATGGGGTCAAAAATGCCCATGAAATGGTCACTTTTCAATTTGTTAATACACATAGCTTCATATAAAAGCCAGAGTCAATAAGAGTCAATTTTAAGATTTTATAGGTTGATCTCCCCCACCTAAGCCTAATATATTACCTAATTTAAGTTCACTTATCTGCTTATTGTCCCATTTATGGGACGGTACTTTGGCGGAAAATTTAGCATAGAAAACATGCAAACCATTTTCATTCTCTTTTCTTTTTTGAACAACGAAAGTTTTAAACACATTCTAATGAACTTACATAGTTAAAATAGAAACCAATAAAAAATCTTCTTATCTCACACTTCGCCGAAATGGCAGGGGAATGGCCTTGCCACTGGAAGTGGCCAATTTTCTCAGCTTCATTCTCGTCTTTACTGCAAGTTTCTATCTTCACCAATAGGAGAGAAATCCTTTTTTGATGTGACCGTCCCAAAACGGACGATATGCATAAATGGGGTAAAACTGTTCAAAGCCTTTGCCTTCTTGGAAAGTGTGACCTTTCTATAACTTTATCCATTATTCTACATTTTGTCCAGTGAAATTGGGGAAGCGGCATCTGTTTGACTAAAGCTAAGGAAATAAAAAAATCCAATAAAGTAGTCCTCATTCTAGTTTTATCAGTTTAAGTAAATAGCTTTGCATTTTATAAAAATATATATTATTACATGCATATATCGTACAGAGTTTAGAATATAAATAGGCGCATAAGTTGTATATGAAAACCAATCAGTGATACCACGGTTACCCGTGAGGATATTTTCAGTTAAGCTCGATGAACATCATGATATTTTTGGGTTGACTATTTTTCATCATCTATTAATTGACTGTTTGGATATCTGGGTTTTACAATGGCATTAGCAACATGTGGCTATTAAACTTAACAATTTTTTTTGTTTGTGTTTTATCTTCTGCTATGATGAATTAGAAAATTAATGTTCTGTGCTATAATGTGCTTCCATCAAAGGTGGACTAGGCTCTGCAATATTAGCACCACTTTGTCTGCTACAGGTAATTCTGCTAAGGTTTTTTATAAAGTTACCTGAAGACTGAAGAAACAATGTGTATGTGCCCCACAAGGTATTGGCAACAAGGGATTTCGTTGGACTGATTAAGAGTATTTGTATGCTGCACCTTTTAAAGACAACTCCTTTTCATTCCAGCTGTTCTTCAGGACTGCACAAAGATGCCGGGTTCAAAATGGACTCTTCTAATTGTCCTTCTTTTCTGTTTCTGCAAGGGTGAGTCATTTAATGTGCTGTTTATAATTGGAGCTCATAACGTATCACAGTCATGCATAATTGTAGATATGAAGGGAAGTGTCCAAAGAGGTCTCATGAACATATGGCTAACTATATGCCTATATAATCGACTTTGTTTATGATGACAGGAAAACCACGTTTAGAGTTGCTTTACAAAATGCTGGACTGTATTGTTTCCAGGAAGAATGTCCGTTCATAAAGAGTCCTTGATAGCAAACTCAGAGAATGTGTGCAATTTACAATTTACATATGTGAAATCTGTACTTGTGTGACACTTACGTCTCAATCATGGCGGTTTAAATAGTGACATTTAAAACCCATAACGATACAAGGGTTATTTTCCTCCATCATTCATCATGTGTTGTATATGTGAAGCTTGTAATAGCTGGTCGCCAAGCAATGTTACTTACAGGCCGAACTTGTGTTTATTTAAATCGATATACAGTTAAAATAGAAAAAAGAATATATCATTATTTGTCTTGTAAACTCCCTTTCAGGTCCACGAAATAGCTTGTACATCAAAGTCTGGTCATAATACTTGGATGAGAACTTAATCAATCAATATTGCGGTCAATCTTTGACAATGCAACATAAATACGAAGCATATACGTTATAACTAAAATGTTGATACCTTAACTATCTTGTCATTAGTCTTCACGTGGCCACGTGTTGAGGTCAAACAACGGAGGAAACTCTGATAGCAGTTACCAACTTACCACATAGTATCACATACCTTGATACAGGCAAACACATAAATCGCATGAGGTGTTTGTGCGCCCAACTGCTATTAACAAAATACAAAACCTAACGAAAACATTCTTGGAATATACTCATTTAAATAAGTTAATAATCAGATATTGTAAGCGCGGGAGTAAACTAAATATGATACGTAAGTGTTTTCTGTTTAAACTTATTTATAGTGTATCGATGTTAAGGTTCCTTCGTTGTTCCCTTTTACAGCTGTGGTTTGTTTGCCGCCAACATTTGATCGGATAAATCCAATAGAAGTACCAGAAAACACAACTGCAGGTAAGCTGACACATAGAGATGACCAAAGTTGACGGTGATCTGTTAATGTGATTGGATGAAGCTATAAGTGGAATACAACAACAGCATAGCTGTTGTCAACACGTAAATCGTCTTATGAGTTATCTTGAGAAAAGAAAAATATATTTGATAACTCAAAACCATGTGATGTGAGCACCGTATGACAACACACGTTCACAAGGCCTGCAAACACGTGTTGTAGATGCAGTAAATTTGTAATCATAAACATAATTTCAGAAAACGATACTCGATTGTTTTAAGGTGTATAAATGCAGTTGATATTTCACTGAAATTGGATGGGCAGCATCATCAAAAGTAAAGTCACCAACACGAATCTGCCAATTATATGATCTGCACACACGTATGTTACACATATGTTTATATGATCTGTACACACATATGTTCATATTTGTTCATATGATCTGTATATATACACGCATGTTGATCACATTTGTTCATATGATCTGCACACACGTATGTTCATCCCATTTGTCCATACGATCTGCACACACGTATGTTCATCACATATGTTCAAACGATCTGCACACATGTATATTCATCACATGTGTTCATGATTAATATGACTTCCGAAAATTACGGCAGATTGTTTTTTAAGTGTATAATTACAGTGCACATAGGACAGCACCATCTGCCAATCTATTCCAGGTACCCCTATCGGTGTTCTGACTGTGAGAGATGCAACCCCTTCCCACATCACAGTGACACTGTCAGCGGCAACACAAGAATACGTGTATTTATATCAGCATACCAGCATCTCTGGCTTCTATAACGCCAGTATAGTTCTGCAGAGACAGTTGGACTACGAAACAGTAAGGCGTACATGCATATCTTTCACACAGTATGTTGCATTATCGGAGAATTATGTCAGTGTCCCCTGGCCTGTTTTTGTTTCGAATCACTATATCACAGGATTGTTACATTCAGGTTCATGCTGACAACCGGTGTTTTAACTAAGCCATACAAGAAACACATTTCCCTTACTAACAAGAGCTCACTACGACAAATACTACCTGGATTTGAGTAATGCATCACACTACAAAGAACTAATTTGGAGGGATAATACATTCTCTGACTTGACGGCGTGTAGGGAATTGTGTGGCTGGCAATATTCCCTCACTCATAATGAGTCGATAACGTCCCGGGAAATATGATTTGTGAGGGAGTTAAGTATTACGCATCATTTGTGCAACGTTCACAACCATTCAGGACTAAAATGAACAGTTAAATGCTCATGGCATACATCTGGAAACATGTCCTATCTCATGGAGGGGCGGCGGCGTAGCCTAGTGGTTAAAGCGTTAGCCCCTTGAAGTCGAAGACCCGGGTTCCATTCCGCACATGGGTACAATGTGAAAAGCCATTTCTGGTGTCCCTCGCCGTGCATAATCTGCAATATTGCTAAAAGCGGCGAAACACTTAACTCACTCTCTATCTCACAAATAAATAAATAAATATTGTTATAACATATTTAACATGGTTGTCATAATATAATGGAGAGATTATTTTTAAAATGTATATTTTATATGGATTCTTTACACTACGCAGTGGCAGAACATTTTCTGTACACTGATAGGAAACATAATTTATATTTTGAGCAAAAGTAAATATACTGTATATATTTTTTATTAATGCTCTAAATTAGCCGAATTAAGTCAAAATGATATATTTTCTGTTGTCATGATACATATAAGCATACGTTCATTCATTTACAACCTCCAAAACATGAATTCTGAGCGAAACTAAACAGTCTCGCCCATTCTGGTAATGAAGAACAATGCCTTACGTGTTCTGATGATACATTTATTCTTACATTCAGGAAGGCAGCTTGCTGGAACTGCTCTTCACGGCCACAAATCCATCAACTCCGGTAGGTAGACTTGTTGACTTCATGACAATCTGTTTTCATCCACCAATCCATCAGCTCCAGTATGTAGACTTGTTAACTTCAGGACAATCTGTTTTCATCCTCAAATCCATCAGCTCCGGTATGTAGACTTGTTAACTTCATGACAATCTGTTTTCATCCACCAATCCATCAACTCCGGTATGTAGACTTGTTAACTTCAGGACAATCTGTTTTCATCCACAAATCCATCAGCTCCGGTATGTAGACTTGTTAACTTCATGACAATCTGTTTTCATCCACCAAACCATCAACTCCGGTAGGTAGACTTGTTAACTTCAGGACAATCTGTTTTCATCCACCAATCCATCAACTCCGGTATGTGGACTTGTTAACTTCATGACAATCTGTTTTCTTCCACCAACCCATCAGCTCCGGTAGGTAGACTTGTTGACTTCATGACAATCTGTTTTCTTCCACCAATCCATCAGCTCCGGTAGGTAGACTTGTTAACTTCATGACAATCTGTTTTCATCCACCAATCCATCAACTCCGGTAGGTAGACTTGTTAACTTCATGACAATCTGTTTTTATCCACCAATCCCTCAACTCCGGTAGGTAGACTTGTTAACTTCATGACAATCTGTTTTCTTCCACCAATCCCTCAACTCCGGTAGGTAGACTTGTTAACTTCATGACAATCTGTTTTCTTCCACCAATCCCTCAACTCCGGTAGGTAGACTTGTTAACTTCATGACAATCTGTTTTCATCCACCAATCCATCAACTCCGGTATGTAGACTTGTTAACTTCATGACAATCTGTTTTCATCCACCAATCCCTCAACTCCGGTATGTAGACTTGTTGACTTCATGACAATCTGTTTCCAATCACTTACATTTCAAACTAGTAGACTTGATGCTTGGTGCCACTTCGGGTATTACAATCCGCGAGCGAGTAGGTAAAGTGCATTAGATGTACAAATACATTGGTGATGATTTCTGTTAGGATTCCCTATAATCATATTTTCCTCAGGGTAAGTGAAAACGAGAATGTGCAAACACTACTTGTAGTTTCACACAGAATTTCAGTTATTTCAAGTCAAACAAGCAACTCACTTTAATTTGAAACAGTGAATAATGTTACAACACATGTATGCTCAATGATGTGTAGGACGGAGTCCGTCAACTCGTGAGAGTCATCATCAAAGACGTCAATGATGTCCCCCCACAGTTCCTGGGGCTACCATACTTCGTCTCTTTCCCAGAGGTTGTATAACTTTTGTTGTATTCGTCTGTCTTATACCTCGTTTAAAATCATAAGAAATGTAGTACTGAGAAAACATTAACTATTTCTTCACAATCTCCACAGAACGTCTTTTAACAAATGTCAGTTGTTTATTACGATTCTCCAAAATGCTGATTAATGCAAGAATACATACATGACGAAGTGTCTGAGCTCATGGAGGCATTTCTAGATTAAGAAGCTCACATTGACCTGATCCCACACCTACATGCGTCGTTGTGAATTATTCATTGAGAAAACTTGCTCATTTCAGAATACACCGATCAACACTGTCATCTTTACCGCCAAAAGTACTGATCCTGACATAGGGACTGGGAGTTCAGTCAACTACACCATGAAGGTACATGATAGTCTAGCCATATATCGACCAAGATCAATTCAGAAGCATATTCTAGCAGCATAATGAAGCTTTACTGTGAACCTTTGCTCAATACACGGTATAGAGTAATGGAATCACATCAGTGGAATGAATGAATGAATCACTTGAATTAGATCAATTTTTCACTCATATACGTGTTGTACTTGCATAACAAAGCTACTCATTTTTCACATGTTCAGACATCACATGCTGACTACAGAAGCAGGTTTAAAGTATCCAGGACTGGGAACGTGACACTGATTGGAGGCCTGGACTACGAAACACGCTACTTTTATCAGTTTGCAATTGTTGCCACTGTAAGTATTTGCGAATATCATCTGTTTGGTTCCAATGGTGTTTTGAGAGCTACAAACAACCTACATGATGCATCCACAAGTGTAACCTTGTGATTTGAAAGTAATGCATTACTTACATTTGAGAAATAACTGTATGTTGAACCTTAACGGTAGTAGCGTTTCTGATTTCTGACAATGACGCATGACAAATGGATGGGTCCTTTGTTGTTTAACGCCGCACTCAGCTCACTCTTGACCAGACAATCCAGTGATCAACAGCATGACCATCGTTTTATGCAATTGGGATACGATGACATGTGGCAACAAAGTCGGCAAGTCTGACCACCCGATCCCGTTCGTCGTCTCTAACGACAAGCTTGGGTTACTGAAGAGTAATACTAACCCGGATCTTTACGGGTCGCGTGACGAATCATACGAGGGGCATGCTCATCTTCTTTGCGAACACTTTTGCGGCATTACGTATTTGACGCTCATCTTAGAAACATTCCAGCTGGAAACGGTCTAACTAGACAACTCAGTGATTAATACCATGAGCACCTTCCAGCGCTGTTGAGGTACGATGATCCACAATCAGTCGTCAAGGCTGGCTAGTAAATCAGTCGTCCCTCAGAAGCAGCATAATTAGCTGCAGACCATTTTGTATGCTCAGCAGAATTTACACATATATTGTAACAGTTAAGGTACCGTACTCGCTGATCACGTATATCCCCCTGCCAGGATGGAGGAGGCCTGTCCAGCGAGGCCCAGCTGTTTGTGATTGTAACAGATGTCCAGGACAGACCACCATACTTTACTGGAGGACCTTACTTACCTCATATCTGGGAGGACCATACTGTGGTGAGGCTGTTTGTATTATACACCAGTAGTTGTTTGTGATTGTAACAGATGTCCAGGACAGACCACCATACTTTACTGGAGGACCTTACTTACCTCATATCTGGGAGGACCATACTGTGGTGAGGCTGTTTGTATTATACACCAGTAGTTGTTTGTGACTGTAAGAGATGTCCAGGACAGACCACCATACTTTACTGGAGGACCTTACTTACCTCATATCTGGGAGGACCATACTGTGGTGAGGCTGTTTGTGTTATACACCAGTAGTTGTTTGTGACTGTAAGAGATGTCCAGGACAGACCACCATACTTTACTGGAGGACCTTACTTACCTGATATCTGGGAGGACCATGCTGTGGTGAGGATGTTTGTATTTTACACCAGTAGTTGTTTGTGATTGTAAGAGATGTCCAGGACAGACCACCATACTTTACTGGAGGACCTTACTTACCTGATATCTGGGAGGACCATGCTGTGGTGAGGATGTTTGTATTTTACACCAGTAGTTGTTTGTGATTGTAAGAGATGTCCAGGACAGACCATCATACTTTACTGGCGGGCCTTACTTACCTGATATTTGGGAGGACCATACTGTGGTTAGGATGTTTGTATTATACACCAGTAGTTGTTTGTGACTGTAAGAGATGTCCAGGACAGACCACCATACTTTACTGGAGGGCCTTACTTACCTCATATCTGGGAGGACCATGCTGTAGTGAGGATGTTTGTATTATACATCAGTAGTTGTTTGTGACTGTAAGAGATGTCCAGGACAGACCACCGTACTTTACTGGAGGACCTTACTTACCTCATATCTGGGAGGACCATACTGTGGTGAGGATGTTTGTATTTTACACCAGTAGTTGTTTGTGACTGTAAGAGATGTCCAGGACAGACCACCATACTTTACTGGAGGACCTTACCTACCTAATATCTGGGAGGACCATGCTGTGGTGAGCTGTTTGTATTATACACCAGTAGTTGTTTGTGACTGTAAGAGATGTCCAGGACAGACCACCATACTTTTTTGGAGAACCTTACTTACCTGATATCTGGGAGGACCATGCTGTGGTGAGCTGTTTGTATTATACACCAGTAGTTGTTTGTGACTGTAAGAGATGTCCAGAACAGACCACCATACTTTACTGGAGAACCTTACCTACCTAATATCTGGGAGGACCCTACTGTGGTGAGCTGTTTGTATTATAAACCAGTAGTTGTTTGTGACTGTAACAGATGTCCAGAACAGACCACCCTACTTTACTGGAGAACCTTACCTACCTAATATCTGGGAGGACCCTACTGTGGTGAGGCTGTTTGTATTATACACCAGTAGTTGTTTGTGACTGTAAGAGATGTCCAGAACAGACCACCATACTTTACTGGAGGACCTTACTTACCTCATATCTGGGAGGACCATACTGTGGGGAGGATGTTTGTATTATACACCAGTAGTTGTTTGTGACTGTAACAGATGTCCAGGACAGACCACCATACTTTACTGGCGGGCCCTACTTACCTCATATCTATTGTGGTGAGGATGTTTGTATTATACACCAGTAGTTGTTTGTGACTGTAAGAGATGTCGAGGACAGACCACCATACTTTACTGGCAGGCCCTACTTACCTCATATCTGGTAGGACCATGTTGAGGTGAGGATGTTTGTATTATATACAAGTAGTTGTTTGTGACTGTAAGAGATGTCCAGAACAGACCACCATACTTTACTGGAGAACCTTACCTACCTCATATCTGGGAGGACCATGCTGTGGTGAGGATGTTTGTATTTTACGCGAGTAGCTGCTAAACAACTAGTCGTAACTAGACGAGAACATTATTAAGTAATAATACATAAGTTTTATAAGTAAAATTATCAGTAATTACTGTTTTCAGAACAGCAACGTCGTGACCATCTCGGCACTTGACGGAGACAGAGGCAACCCCAACAACATCACCTACAGGATCACAAGCGGTATTTATGTTTCATATTTTTCAGAAGATGAGGTAAATGAAATTCTTAATAAAGGTATGCTCGTACAGTGTACATGTTGTGATGTCCCCCTTATATATTGTAGGCACATGTCCTGGATATTTCAACATCAACCTAACAAGTGGAACCATTGACCTGATCAAGGGTGCGGACAGAGACAGCGGGACAGGGATATGTGTTCTCCAGAACACGGGATATGTGTTATCAATGTCCTGGTGATTATTTATATCTCATGTTGGTAATTATGAGGCCTGCACACAGCACAGATGCATCGGTCTTTCTGAAATTAATATCGAACACACACATACACCACGTACATATGTATATGTATGTGTGTATGCGTGCGTGTGTATAGATGTATGTATGTATGTGTGCGTGTGTGCGCGCGCGCGTGTGTCATGTTTAGTGTTTGCGTAAGGCAATGTGTGTAAAGAAAGTTTTTAATGTAAAATATATGTATCTGAAGGAACGGAATCATACATCATTCAAAACCCTTCTCGCTCTCTGTCTACCGTCTTTCTGTGTTCAAGTCTGTGGAGGTGACGTCCTTGGGTACATTCGGTGCTACCGCCAACGACACGGTGACCGTGACCATCCAGGACATAAACGATAACTATCCTACGTTCAGCAGCTCCCACTACGAAGCTACCATCCAGGAAAACATGCCGGCAGGGATACCCATCACCTTCACGACACAACCAGTACATGTGGAGGATTTGGACCAGGTTTGGGGACGCTATGAGTCACAATGCCTATACATATTCTACTTATAGTGTGCTGGACATTATGATAAGATATCCTCAATATCCGTTTCGAACTTCTAAATCAAGGTCAGTCATTTTACGGTTTTCTCTAAGTCAGCGGATTTTTTAATGTGAAGTCGTAAGCTACACAAGGGATATTTTGTGGACAAATGACCTGACAAACTTGCAGAACAAGGTAATAGCAAACCTGTAATGATCACCCTGAACAGGAAATGTGCTGAATGGGGAACATTTTGTTTTCATTGTTTATCTCCCACAACAATGCATGTGGAATTTGAATGTCTTCTTCACGATCGCCACGCTGGTCCCGAACTCCAACAGATGTGTATATGTGGATGCATTATCACTTTAAAGGACAATATGATGGATTGTATGTTATCATTTCTCTCAATGCAACATTTGTGTGTACAAAATTTTGCATAGATAATATTACAAACTAATTGTGTAGAGGTGATTATAATAGCTGTAATATGCAAGAAATACGTTTGTCAGCTTTCATTTCTAAAGTGTAAAATATGTAATATTGATTGGATAGGTATAGAAAATGTCGTTATTGGATGCCAGAAGACTGAATTTGAAAACATTGAATCAACATGGAAATACGGAATATTTTGTTACGTCATTATAAGAGACTATGTATTTTTTATGTTTGTGTTATACATGTACATTGTTATCAATGAATGCCATTTAGAGGTGGGAAAACCTTCATCACCTCATCAGTAAGTAACCAAAACGTTGATTGTAAAGAAGCTTTTGTCCGTAAACGTTCAAGATATTCTTTGTCTGATATGTTTCCAATTTTAATAGCAGTGAATTGATCAAGCTGGCCCTATTTCCACCAAAATACTTACATTGAATATGCAGTTCCTGTTATACTACAAAAACTAACTAAACATACAGTGCCACAATTGATACAATCTTGATGTTGCCTTTTTCTTAAACAATGTTTGCCTTAATGGATAAATACCATTAGAGTTTACAGGTTCCGCCTGTCGAGATATATCACACCAATAGACTGTAAATGCATGACCACTGTTGTATCTGAATAATATCAGGCATATTTCTTATCATAAAGGGGGACAACGCCAAGCTATCGCTGACACTGGATTCATATTCATCGACGTACTTTGAGATTGCCCCGTCCACTGTCCAGGGGTCAGCAAACCTGCTGATCAGAGTGAAGGATAACACCATCCTGGATTATGAACAGAGACATAGCATTACACTGACGGTAACACAACGTACATAGCTACGCAAATAAAACCATGGTGTCTTTTATAGCATTGACGTGTTGCGAGCTACAACATATTAGCTCTCCCTACGTGACATTGGGGTGGTGTTGAAATGGAACACTGAAACAGTTAATGAGTGACACCAATGTAAGCCAAATCATCATCTACATCCTCATGATAGATAGGTCTCGGATTGTTATACTTTATATAGAGGTAACGTATTCATTTCTCTAACGAGATTTTGCACAGTTTCAGCTGATCGTTATTAAACATTATGATCAGTGTTGACTTGCGATGCATTTTATGCTAGACAATTTAACAGACTTTATATTTACACATATCACCAACGTAGAAATGTATGTTACTTCCTTGAGATTATTGGTAGTGGAGTGGATGATACACTCTTCATTGATTATTACATTCTCCCGGTATACAATGAGGCTCCACTACAATATCATTTTGATTCTGTTCTTTGAGCACTTCATCTTTACCCTGTAAATATCCAGGTTTGGGCCAACGAAACCTCCACACGAGAGAGAAACAGTGCATCTACCACCATTCAGCTGAATATAACAAATCAGAATGACAACATTCCCAACTTTACCGCGTCAGAATACAGCGCATCTGTCCGGGAGGGTAGCAGCGTCTCCACATCTATCATCAGCGTCAAGGTATTTGTAACAATGTAACATGTAACTTCACGCACACTGCCTACATCATCTGTCCAGGAGGGTAGCAGCGTCTCCACATCTGTCATCACTGTCAAGGTATTTGTAACAACGTAACATGTAACTTCACGCACACTGCCTACAGCATCTGTCCGGGAGGGTAGCAGCGTCTCCACATCTGTCATCAGCGTCAAGGTATTTGTAACTTCACGCACACTGCCTACATCATCTATCCAGGAGGGTAGCAGCGTCTCCACATCTGTCATCAGCGTCAAGGTATTTGTAACAACGTAACATGTAAATTCACGCACGCTGCCTGCATCATCTGTCCAGGAGGGTAGCAGCGTCTCCACATCTGTCATCAGCGTCAAGGTTTTTGTAACAACCTAACATGTAACTTGACGCACACTGCCTACAGCATCTGTCCAGGAGGGTAGCAGCGTCTCCACATCTGTCATCACCGTCAAGGTATTTGTAACAGTGTAACATGTAACTTCACGCACACTGCCTACAGCATCTGTCCAGGAGGGTAGCAGCGTCTCCACATCTGTCATCAGCGTCAAGGTATTTGTAACAACGTAACATGTAACTTCACGCACACTGCCTGCATCATCTATCCAGGAGGGTAGCAGCGTCTCCGCATCTGTCATCACTGTCAAAGTATTTGTAACAATGTAACATGTAACTTCACGCACACTGCCTACAGCATCTGTCCAGGAGGGTAGCAGCGTCTCCACATCTGTCATCAGCGTCAAGGTATTTGTAACAACCTAACATGTAACTTCACGCACACTGCCTACAACATCTGTCCAGGAGGGTAGCAGCGTCTCCACATGTCATCACCGTCAAGGTATTTGTAACAGTGTAACATGTAACTTCACGCACACTGCCTACAGCATCTGTCCAGGAGGGTAGCAGCGTCTCCACATCTGTCATCAGCGTCAAGGTATTTGTAACAACGTAACATGTAACTTCACGCACACTGCCTACAGCATCTATCCAGGAGGGTAGCAGCGTCTCCGCATCTTTCATCACCGTCAAAGTATTTGTAACAATGTAACATGTAACTTGACGCACACTGCCTACAGCATCTGTCCGGGAGGGTAGCAGCGTCTCCACATCTGTCATCAGCGACAAGGTATTTGTAACAATGTAACATGTAACTTCACGCACACCGCCTACATCATCTGTCCAGGAGGGTAGCAGCGTCTCCACATCAGTCATCACCTTCAAGGTATTTGTAACCATGTAACATGTAACTTCACGCACACTGCCTACATCATCTATCCAGGAGGGTAGCAGCGTCTCCACATCTGTCATCAGCGTCAAGGTATTGTAACCATGTAACATGTAATTCCAACCACACTGCCTCTGTCCAGGAGGGCTGTACTGTGTAGACATCTGTCATACCAGTGACGGCATATGTACCGTGTTAACCAGTTCTAAACCAATACTGGCCACACCACCTCTACCTCTACATTTGTCATGACCAAGACGGAATGTGATGTCATGACATCAGTTAGTCGTTTGCCACTACTGTTTTGTACGTTCTGCTGTCATATATACTCAAAGGCAAAAGTTATTGTGGTTGACTTGAAGTTTGATATGTGAATTAACAACTGATATGTTTATGTTATCCTCCCCATTACGTGCCAGACGTAGTCGATAAGGGACAGATCTCGGGATTTATCGAACCAGGGTTGGCCGTTGACATTGTGCTGCGCCAAGAATGGCTGAACCCCGCTGGCGAAAGGAGGTCTGGCATTGCCCTGCGTGAAGATCATTCCTGGACCATTCTGCTGGAGAAATGGTATGACGACTGGATAAATAAATTGGTCTCTGTACCTGAGACTCGTTAAATTTCCATTGGTGGCAAGCAAAGGTGTACGTCCAGCAATCGGTATCCAATCCCAAACCATCATTCTACTGATGCCAAAACAATCGACCTGAAGGACACAGTTCCTAACATAATGCTCACCACGTCGCCGGTAAACTCGGGTTCGGCCTTCATCTCGATGCAGGAAGAATCTGGACTCGTCAGTGAAGAGAACATGTCGCCATCCACGTGTTCTCCACCGCAGATGTTACCTGCACCACTGCAGTCGTAGACGTTGGTGACTTAATGTCAGAATTTGTCGTCTGGCAGGACGTCTAGCACGTATTCCGTGTCCGACGAATGGTCCTTGTCGATATCCTACTGACACCAGAAACTGTTCGGGCTGTCAGTGTGGCTGGTAGGAATCTTTAGCGCAGAACCTGTTGCGTGGTAACAGGTGGACGGCCACATCGGGGACGGTCTGATAACGTCTCCACAAGCGGTGTACGGTGTTCCTGTGCACGTTTAACTGCTGTTTCAAGCATTCCAGTGGCTCGCCATCATTCATTTTCAGTAAGACGTAGCATAGAGAAATGCAAGCAGATTCTTCCAAATTTGTGTTTTTCGGACCCGTTGACGACTACACAATGACTTTGGTGACAATGATTCGAGCTTTAGACCCACACTTTTTAAAGGGCATAATTTATGCCTATTTTCTACGGACCTCTTGAAAGCACGAAAAACGCATGCAACCACTGACAGGGCCCTGTTGGGTGATGGATTAAGTGTAAAATAAAGAATAGTAAAATACATTATAAGACAAACTTTTGCCTTTGAGTATAGTTTGAGCATTTCTTAGTATTGTGATAAACAAGACGAACTGTACAAAATGGCACCCACGTATGTTGCAGACGACTTATCCTAATTCGGGAATTGGACTCCCCGATCAACGGATCCTTCAAAAGGATATAATTCTAAAGTAAAACCACAGTCACACATGTGTTCTGTAACGTGAAACAAAGAATATCAATACTGTGACACGTATTTCAGTTCATTCTGTCAAAGCTACTCTTTTCAGGCTATAGACTACGATCTGCCGAACTTCGGATTTGTATCTTATGCACTACGGGGTGGCGACGGAATGTAAGCATCCATGTAATTGTGTGTATGCATTGAATGTATTGCATGTATTTATTGTACATGTTAACTGATAGATTGTTGGTTTGCATCATGTGCGTATAGATGTATGCATATTAATAAACTCTTCAAAAAGGCTAAAAATAAGGAAATGTATTAAACGTATTAAGTCGTCCGATTTCTGCTTGAGGAATTCTTCGCTATTCCTCCTGCAACGCATTGGCAAACTTCTGCAAATATCTGGGTACAACGGTGACGATGTTGACGCGTCGATCAAGTCCGTCCCATAAATGTTCGATTGGGTTCAAATCAGGCGATTTGGAAGGCCAGGGAAGGACATTGGCGTTTGCTGTGGCGAGATAGGCACCTGTTACACGAGTTATGTGGGGTTGAGTGTTGTCAGGTTGAAACAGCTCCCTCTGGCGGTTAACAATTTGTTGAGGTCGCAGGATTTGGGCTATGTAGCAATTTGCTGTAAAATTGCCTTGAACCACCACTAGCTCTGATCTACCCTTGTAGGACGTGATCCCCCACACATTGACGCTGTCTCCACCAAATCTGTCCTCCTTTCGAACGCAGTTTAGCGCAAAACGGTCTTGTTGACGTTCGTCGTTGCAGGAGGAAACGCGATTCATCACCGAACCAAACGCGTCCCCAGTTCCCCAGGTACCATGCCTGTACTCTGTTGCACCATTGGACACATTGTTGCCTGTGTAGTCGCGTCAGGACAGGTCCAATGTTCGGTCGATGTGTTTGAATTGTCACTTCTCTCAGACGATTTCTGATGGTTTGGTCGGAAATCCTTCAGGCACCTGTCCTGCAATGTTCGTTGCTGAATCGGTCCTGAGCAGGAGTGGCCACTCTTGGTCTTCCACTTCTTTGACGATCTTAGGTCGAATCGAACCGGATATATCGATGCCATAATCGAGATAGGGTGTGTTTTGGACGTTGGAGTCTTGCAACGGCAGACTGGAACTGTCCTGGTTCCAATTGTTCAATGGCGATATTTCGGTCAGTGGCATTCAACCTTGGCATTTTAATCTTTGTTTAGTCGTAAATTGTGTAATTAAATGATGAGTTTGGTTTGGCCTTTTATATATCAATGTCTATAATGTTGTTTCCGACACATTGCACGTGCATTACGTGGAAAACTTTTTTCTGCATGCACTTTTCATGTATCATTTTCTATGCCAAACATTTAGAGACACATTTTGGGATGCATTTGTGCGCAGTGCACAAACAACCACGACATGATTAACGGGATTCAACCATATGACAAATGACGACTGCTGTCAAAATATATCGAAATGAAATGCTGAAAACGCCTGTCCGTTTCTTTTTTTTCAACAGTGTACATGAGAATATTGATATCCTGCACATTTGTATGATCTGAATATATTCGTTTCTGCGACATCTCTGTTCAAGGTTCTCCATCGATTCCTCTGGTCTCGTAACTGTGGCCTCTTACCAGCTGGACAGAGAGACCAAGTCTGTGTACTACATATCGGTGGAGGCCACAGACCCCGGAGGATTGAAGGACACCGCTCAGCTCACTGTCAACATCACCGACGTCAACGACAATCCACCGGTATTCAGAAGAGACTACGACGGGTATTTGAAAGAAAATGAAACCTCCTTTAGTAAACCTATCATTGTGTCGGTAAGTTTACCAAATGCAAGGTATTGTGCGCAAGCTCACGTTAGCTGTTCCTTCATAGTTTGAAACAAACGATATTTTGTTTCTACATGTTGTTAAATCTACCAGTAACCGATTAATGCAGTCACGTTGATGCAAGGCTATTATCTGGACACCTTTTTATCGCCAACAAGCATCTATACTAAAAATTATGGAAATGAATACGTGGATGCAAGAAGGACATTTTCCTCAATACAAATTACATACCTTTTACGTCTTTTAACCTTAACTATGATGACATTGTCTACATTTGCTTCCTCTTCAGTTCCCTCAGGAAACTAGTATAGCAGTACTCAGTGATATTTTCACTAAGCTTAATACAAAAGTGGAAAGGATCAAGAAAAGTATATCTACATGTTCAAGGAAAATAATATATTTAGGTGTATATAAAGGAATATATATTATATATGTATATAATACACACACATATATGGCATACATAACTGGAATAAAATATGTTTTCATAATCAAAGTTAACGTTTAAAAGGTAGGAGTAGGGGAGAGTGAAATTAGGTTTAACATCGTGCGAGAGAATAATTTCGCTCATACTTGACGACGTGCATGCGTGTGTATGTGTATATTGCGGCTGCTTTACGGTCGGGGATCGAACCCGCGACCCTTCCGCACTCGAAGACGGACAACTCTATGTCCATTTTCAGCTGACATTACAATTTAAACAGCGCAACACCAATACTAATAGTATACATATATTAACCTTATCTTCCAAAGGCCACAGACGCCGACATGGGGGTCAATGCCCAGGTGAGGTACAGCATCAGCTGGACCTACCCCATCGGCCTCGACTCCCACTTCGCCGTGGATGGTGTCACCGGTGTCCTCTCCGTGGTCGTTCCTCTCATGAACAGTGACACTAGCCAGGTTGTTGTATCGGTGCGGGCCACGGACTCTGGCACACCTCCACTATTCTCTGATGTTAATGTTACAATTAGTCTCCTGGTGGGTATCATACGTCATATCTGAATATATATCATATGTCATATCTGGATATATACATTCATTCACATATTTCAATTTATGATTGAAAAAGAATTGAGTTATATCGGAGTCAATCAATGTTGATATGATAGCAATGAATGCTTTGAGAGTGCATCACCTCTTGCACTTCCTTATGACCATAGTTGTTTGTACAGTAATCGCTCTACATTGATTTATCGACCTTCTTGAATACCGTCAGAATCAAGAATGACACCCCATGCACGTGTATGGGGATACTTCGTTGTGCACGTGCATCCCGTGCATTGTGTTTAGGGGTGGTGATACCGAGAAATGGTGGTGCGTTCATAAGATGTATGTCTTTGAAAAGTTTGTTAACGCTTAATATACTTCCTATCCAAATTGAAAGTTCAGGATCCCCTTCCTTTTCAAGAGTAAATATATGCGTAACACTATTAATGTGCCATTTTCCCAGGGACCAGAAATATTTAGTAAAAGAAATAGGTGTCAAACCAATTACAACCCAAGAAATGTTTTGAATTATCTATGATATATCATGAAATCAAATAGGTTTACAAACCAATGCATATTAATGTAAAGTAATGACCCAGACAGTACAGTTACAAAGGCAATAGGATATAAAAAAGCAGTGGAAAATGTAATGAAATAGGTGACAATAGTGTTCTCCAAGCAGCAACAGTGGTCAAGCTTACGAACCAGTGCCTAGATTTTCGAAGCTCTCTTAGCGCTAAGATAGTCGTAAGTTAATGTTATGTATGGCGCACGACTATCTTAGCGCTACAGCTTCGAAAATCTAGGCAACAGGAACAAACTGGTTGACCAGGGTGAACGTAACTGTCTTCCCAGACTTCTGGTCTTGAAATGAGTGAGTTTAGTTTTACGCCACACTCAGCAATATTCCAGCTATATGGCGGACTGGTCTTGAAAATGAGATAAGATGTAAATGTGCGTGTCTAAATGCCTTCTAGGAGGTTTTAACTTTATGCTGTATTAGTTGATGAGTTCTAGAAACGTCTATATTACTTTTGACTCCCAGTCTGAAAATAGTAACAAACACACCTCTTACCACTCCTGGGTCTTAACAAACAATGTAGTACAATTGCATCACTGTTTCACGATGAATTACACTGCCACATTATAATATGAAACATTTTTTTACAGACACCTGCACGAACATGTAGAGAAACAGGTAAATTATACCGGAAATGGAATTTGTCATGGATTGGGTATACATGTATTTTTCAGTATTTCAGCTGGGAAATAAAGAGAATTGAATGTGATATTGCTAAATATAATTATAACTTCTAGCTTTCGTATCGCTGATATCATGTTTGCAGGAATGAATGAGTTCGAACTAGGTTCTTTTGCGTGACGAGCGAAAGCTTTAAACAGTAGGCTGCAACTACACTGCCTACTTATCATCAGTGCAAAATATCCGTTGATTTCTGTTTTGCTGTATATATCTAGAATGGGAAAATAATATTATGAGTGAGTTTCTAATTTACGCCACTTTTAGCAATATTCCAGCGATATCACGGCGGGGGACACCAGAAATAGGCTTAACAGCATTGTACCCATGTGGGGAATCGAGCCCGGTCTGACGGCGTGACGAGCGAACGCTTTAACCACTAAGCTACCCCCATCTACTCCGGGAAAATAATGCATCTGACGCTTTTTGGTGTATGTACATATAAGTTATCCTTGGCACTAAGGATGTTTTCTGTCACGCTTAGCGGAATCTGTTCGGCGTATAATCGAGACTGGTTATTCTCTGGCATTGACGTTTTATATTTACATAACGCAAAGTCATTAGACTGTTACATTAATCTGCGATTGATGGATGTTTGGGTTTGATAAAATATGTCCATTTTTGATATCTTACGGTTTTGTTTCTTTTGTTTGTTCCCCAGATTGCCGTCACAACTTTACAAATTGCGAGTTGGCCAGATGTGACGATCCCGCCCACCCAATATGTGTGCTGTGTCGGGGAGGTCATACCCTCTTCCATGGACAGTGCAGGGGTTAGTTTGTAGCTTCCATAAAATTCATTGTGGTAGAAATAAGATATTTGTATGGGAGTGAGTGACTGTTACTCCTTTCAGCAATACTCCAGCAATACCGCGGGGGACACCAGAAATGGGCCTCTCACATAGTGATCTTGGATCCTCGGCGTAACGAGCGTTTAACCAATTCGGGCTACCCTACTTTGCCCGATTTGTGTTTGAAACTCGTATATGTGTTTCAGCGTGTCCACCATAACACCCATCCTGCACTGCGAGGAGGAGGAGACACCATCCAGTTGCCTCTTCAGGAGCAGTTGCAGCAGGTGCGAGCAGGGATTCTACCGAAAAGCTGGTGCTTGCGAGGGTAGGTTAAGAATATACTTTGATGTACAATTAATAGCGGCAGGATACACTGGCAAACTGTGATGCATCATAATCAATCAGTCAATCACAGCATTATCGTTTTTGTGGTAGGAATCACTGTCAGTCAAACTAATACCTGGTATTGGTGACCTTGACAGCCATCACGAACACATGCAAAGGCAAGTCAACTGTTCACATGAAAGTATTTTCAAAATAAAACCAAACCCCCAAGAACTAACCCAAAACAACAACGAAATTTATAGTAGAAGTCAAAATAGGATTTGTATTAGACATGCTTGTCACTGATGCATCGCTGATTAGAAATGCCAACGACACGTTTACTATTACGCACAACTTTGATGAAAGCCACGACCTTGATGAAAGAATGTCTTGAACCATATGAGTACGGGAATACAGGAGTCAACGTGGCTTGTCACGCTGAAGACCCGTGGGTTCGAATCCCCACATGGGTACAATGCGTGATGCCCATTTCTGGTGTCCGTAATGCCGCTCGAATATTGCTAAACGCTGCGTAATATTGCTCAGTCAGTCAGTCGGCGTCAACGATCAGCGGATCTTTTCTGCAAAGAAAGACACAACTGTGCGACCACTGTACGACATGTCCAATCCGTACCATTGCTTTCACTAAAGATGTGGCACTGATCAAATTATACTGATTAACAGCGAAACAATCGTACTTTTGATGTCCAAACGGTTACTTGAAAACGAGAAAACTAAACTATCATGAATAGAAAACACCACCACTGCAGCACATTTGGTTTATGCAGAAGTTTACACTGTGTATGAGGTAAGCTCCTGATATAGAACAAACTGTACAAAACAGTCTAAACACGCCGCCTCCTGCAACGTGAACAAAAATACATACTACAACACAAGGCCTGGCGCTTAGAAAAAGCTCGGAACGGGTGATCAGTCGCTGACTTGGCTGGACACATGTCATCGGTAACCATTTTTGTATAGGTCGATGCTCATGCCTTTGATCACTGGATTATCTGAACCAGACTCGATTATTCAACAGACCTCCGCCATATATTATTATTATTATTATTTACATTATGTTTTTACAGATTAAAAGATAGTATGCAGCAAGAGAGGAGTTCGGGTGATCCTGGCACACAGTCGTAGGGCTATGGGCGCCTCATCGAATCAGCTCATTAGGGCCCTGTCCTCTACCACCGCAGCCAAGACAGCGAACGGGACTTCTCCAGGAAACGCTGCCTTAGTCGAACCCACCAAGAACAAATCCGAGAATGCAGCGCCCCTAACACTGCAGCCTTCTGCATTACCCAGGAGTGTCAGAAGGGCTTTACTCCCGGCGGAGGAACCTGGCACTCTGCTGATGATCTGCGCCAAGAGATCAGGAGGTACGCAAACCAAGGGCACTGCAAGAACAATGGGGGGAGACCTCCTGACAGTGTAATTTGGGATGCCAAGACATTCTTCAAAGGCGAGGTCCGCATATTTACCATGCTTTTCCTGAATCTCGCCACCATTTATTATGTTTTACAGATTAGAGATAGAGATGCAGCGAGAGAGGTTGTTCGCGATCCCGCAATAGTCCAGGTTGCGGGGCTCATCATCAGCTCAGGCCTCGGTCGCCTCTACACGCAGCCAAGATGTTAATGGGACCTCCCTGAAACGCTGCTTTAGTCGAACCGTACCCAATAATGGCTCTGGAAGTCTGAGGTTCTCAACACTGCAGCCTTCTTGCATTACCCAGAGCTGCGTCAGAAGGGCTTTACTCGCGGAATTCGGTGATAGACCCAGTACCTCAGGATCTGCGCCAAAGAGATCAGGAGGTGTTACCAAACTCAAGGCCACCGAGAACAATGGGGAGCCTCCCCGACCATTGGCGCGGGGATGCAAGCAGAGACATTTCAAAGGCGGGGTCACTTTATCGTAACGGATCTTGCCGGTATTATGAT